CCCCAAAACCCCAAAACCCCAAAACCCCAAAACCCCAAAACCCCGTTTTTGGGTGATTAATAGAAAGAAAATTTTAAATTTTAGTAAATAGTAAAAAATGGCAACTGAAGAAAGTAGCTTGGTGGAATGGATCAATTCTTTCGAGCATTTAGGTATAAGGATTACAGATCTCTCGGAGTTATCTAATGGGGTGGACCTCTTCAAGATCTTGCAAGAGGTTAGTGAGACTATATGGGCAGAGGATAAAATGGAGCTGGAAGATCCGGACAGCGAGTTTATGAAGATGAAGAATGTATCAGCTGTATTCTCAGGCATCCAAGAGTATTATTCTTCAAAATTACTTAACGAAATTCATGACTACGAGATCGATATCGAAGCAATATGCCAAAGAATGGATATAGATGCAATAATTCGTCTGTGTGAGCTGACTATTGGTGTCGTAATCCAGTGAGACGCTAAGGATGAATATATCAATGCTATTATTAGCCTCAGTGAAGACACCCAGGCAGTGTTGATGAAGATCATTCAAAATACAATGGCAAATAGTTCAAAGAACAATTCCTCCGTAGACCATAACGAGGAGGGCAGCTCAATAAACCAAAGTTACAGTGAGGATAATTTGAATCTATCCCAATCATTGACTGTTTCTTTGGAGACGCAGATGCAAATTGATAAATATAAGAAGCAGATTCAGGCCCTGAAACTGAAACTTAGTGAAACTGAGGAAGAAAATGGGCATTACAAGACTCAAGTCGAAAAACTCACCTTAGAAAACAGAGAGATCCAGGAAGATTTAGAAATTGAAAAAAAAAAGAAGTCGTACAGTCAAAATTCATCTTCTGATAAACTTAACGAAATTCTTGATCAGTTAGCTCAAGTTGAGAAAGAGCTGGCTAAAAAGACATTCGAATGTGAGTCATCTCAGAAGAGACTCAGTCTCCTTGAATCCAAGTTGAGTGATGTTCAATCCTCCCACACCGATGAAAAGGATAAACTGAATGACGAACTAGATGAATGTAAGAGCAAACTGAGAAAACTCGAGCAGGTGGAATCCCTCAACAGCCATTATAAGAAGAAACTGGAGGAATCAGTTGAGATGAAGAGCCAGATTAATGAACTCAAAGAGCACATTTCAGATCTTGAGAACCAGATCGAAGGTACATTTTAAAGTAACTGTGATATAGAGTACGAAACCCAGATGAAGAGAGGAGACTCATATAAGGATCTTTACTCAGGACTTCAAAAAGAACTCCTTGAAGAAAGGGATTCAACATGTCAACTTACTTTACAAAACAACGAGCTGAATGATAAGGTCAACGACTTGAAGAAAGACATGGAGAGGTTAGAAAAGGACTCTGCCAAGAAAGATGACAGAATCAGGAAGATGCTTCAAGAGCAACATACTAGGCAATCTGAATATGAAAGTCCGGCATCTTATGAACTTAAATCCCAGAAATACGATTCTGATCTTGAAACCTTGGCTAATGAGATTGGTGGAGACCTTCACAATGTTAGCATCGAGAAGAACGAGCTGTATATCAGACTCAAACAAGAAAATGAAGAACTCAAGATTAAAATCAGAGAGAATGAGGATTCCTTACTGAAACAACTGGAAGACGATCTGAAGAAGAAGGACAGCTCCATAAAAACTAGCCACGAGGAGAACTTCCGCTTAAGGAAAAGAGCTGAGATTCTTAAACAGCAGAACGATGAACTCAAAGTTGAAGTTGACAAAATGAAAAATGATGCCTATGGATATCTAGAGCTCCAGAACGAAGTCAAGGCTGCCAAGAGTGACAAGAAGTCACTTAAAGAGAAGATCAAAAACCTTCAAGAGAAGTTGAGAGAACTTGAAAGAGCGAAGGAGGAATTAGACAGACTCAAAAAATCATATGAAGACCTTGAGCATGAGAAGAAAGAACTTAAAGCTGAAATCAAAGACACAAGACAGATGCTGGATAAGCATAAGGACGAAAATGTAGCTATCAAGACCAAAATGCTTGAAGTTGAAAAAGAGGTAAAATCCTTTCTAAAAAGTATAGTTCAATGAAAGATCAATGAGAATTCAGTTAGAAAATGATTCTATGAAGCTTGAATTAGGAGCTTTAAAGGAGAATTCTCCCACAGAAGCTGTATCACATAGTTCAGAGGTCCTAGCAAGTATAGAGAGTGAGAAGATCAAAGTTATTGAAAAGGAAAACAAAATCTTGCAGCTAAAGCTTGAGATCAAATCTCTAGAGGGTCGTATCAAGGAGAGTGAGGAGAGATTTTCCAAAAACCTTAAAGACATGGAAACCAGCTTTGCTGATGAGAGAAATATCCTTCAGGAAGAACTATATGCTGCTAAGAGCGAGAGAGAAGAGAAAGATAAAGAAATGAAGGAACAGGAGAAGCTCATGATTACCTCTATGGCATCCTTCTTCTTTGATACCCTGAATAAACAAGAACAGAAGAGGCAAGAAGAGAGCAACAGTGGAGGAAGCTTCTTGAAAAAGCTCAGAAATGCATCCTACGCCCTCCCAAGTAAGTTTGGGTAGGTTTTAAGTGTTTCAGCCATGATTATGAGTGAAGGGGTTTTGGGGTTTTGGGGTTTTGGGGTTTTGGGGTTTTGGGGTTTTGGGG